GAGCGTGAAAAGTCAAACCATGGACAATTTACTGCTGTCCAATGCAGTTTGCAGTAAATTACTATTCTAAGTACGCCCTCGTTAACACCAACGGTTCAAATAACGGACATCATAAATTATTCACAACATCCAGAGGGCAAAGGACTAACGTCCCTGAAGTTTACGATCCTATAAAACACTTTGCAAAACTCTCCTGGAAAATGTATGACAGATTAGTGTCACATGCCTTATGTAAAGGCTTATTTTTGTTCTGTGATATAGAATCGAAAACCCACAGTACGCCTATCGTAATCCCCATACACAGTGATCGTTATTCTACCCATTAGCCTACACACAACCATTCCATACCAAGGCGCTAATGAACGGACTCTCAGGGGGCAGCCTACAAAACATTGCGGTTAAGTAACCCATAGTTCTTTATGGACAGCACCAGCACAGAGATGGAATGTGGGATGGGTTTAAGGTCCTTTTCAACACATAAAGGCTCCTTATGATTTGGAGTACTTCTGGTACGATATCTGCCTTATATGTGGCAGAGTAAAAACTTTGAATAGAATCTTTTATCAATAATACTAAAAATAACTTTCCATAAGCTTTTCGAATAAGACGTTGCGTCGATGGGGCTTGAGCCAAGCAATCAAATCTCGGATGTATTGTCCAATAATCCTTCCCACAGTAAAAGAATATTGATTCAGTACATACAAACGTATTCAGAAACCCAAGCCTACAAACGATTCAAGTCTCACTTCTCGAGTTTAGTATTCGGTTTTGTTGTGTGTTAGGGTGCGGTGAAGAACTCACATCAGGCGGCAAGCAAACAGTTTCTGCAATCTATACCTTATCTGAATGTCAGAGAACTTAGGATCTAACTTCTTGATCAAGTAACACGAACTTTGCTCACTGGCACTATCAGAGCCGATTTCTATTCATGTATAATACACACAGTTTGGACATCGCACGAATGTATTGTTCCACCTGGCTTAACTAGACGGTTTTTGTTTTGCTTCAGAAGTGTTTCGACTTTTGTTCTTTGGCTGAAAACACATCAAAGAGAATGGTGGTGTTTTTGACTCTTATCTATTCAAGAATAGGATGTTGTTTAGATTGAAAAGAATGAGATGGGGACGGGGGAGGTTGAGGGATTAGGGCATCGGAAGAGTTCATGTAGATCATCTGATGTAGATCATCTGATGTAGATCATCTGATGTAGATCATCTGATGTAGATCATCTGATGTAGATCATCTGATGTAGATCAT